CTCTCTCTCTCTCTCTCTCTCTCTCTCTCTCTCTCTCTCGTTTTGCTCATGAGTTTTTGTTTTCTCTCTTGGAAACAGCTGTGAAGAAAGCTTGTTTTGATGTACGGATATAACTTTATTGATCCTTTGGGAAGAAAGTAAAGATAATGATTAATAGATTAACGACTATAAATATGATTAATAGCTTAACAACTATGCAGCTACTCAAAAATCCAGATCCTTCGGTTTCTTTATCGCTCCATAATTTCCTGCTACAAAATGACTTCCAGTCCTGTCATCACCGGTGATGTTTTCCTCATTTCCCCTGCTCGTTTTCCTGCTCTCAGGTCTGGTGCCGGTGCTTGTTTACTGTCAGAACAACAGGACCGAGGTGGATAAATCCCTCAGCCTCTCTGTCAACAAACACGTCTCTCATTTCTCTCAGAGAGTCAACAGAAATGTCCTTTCATTCATTTATTTAATTTWATTTTATTTTGCCTCTGTTTGTTGATGTTTTTATCTTCTGGGGTGTGGCTGCACAGATAAAATACGGTCGTCTGTCTTTGTGTGACATAATGTTCTGGTGCCAATGATGAATATTGAATTTTAACCCTGCGGGGCAGGAAACAGTGGAGCGGTGCTGAACTGCTGAGCCCTGCAGCTAAAACAGAACCTGCTGCCTGCTGGAGCAGAAAATAATGAGAGGGGCTTTTTATCCCCCTGACACCTACTTCTACCTTCCTCCTTCAGGTAGACGACATTCTTTTTGTCATCATCAATTAGCTTCTTCTTCGTCCTCTGCCTCATCTTCCTCACTTATTCTGTTTTTGCTGATTTTAATCTCTCGGCTCCCGTTTGTGTCATTGGTTCGACTGCTTCTGAATTAAACTTGTTAGAAAACAAACACAAGTTCAGTCCTGCAGCAGTTTGATTGTAGGTTTATCATTGTTGGAGCAGGATCCTTTAATTAGACCAGGAGCATCAAACCGAGGGCCACATGAGAGTTACAGGTATTAATTTCAACATTTTGTGTTTAACTTCGACTGAAACGTCACGCTCCTCATCTCATTGCTATGGCTGAGCACCGCTAACAAACAATAACGGAGCTCTACCTGGTATTTCCTGCATCGAAACAGAGTTTTAACACRTCCTCTTATAAACACTGAAAAATACTATGTGTACAACTGACTAAATGTGAAGTAAATAATACAGAAACACTATTAAAGTAAGAGAGTTTTACTCACTGAGTTGTGGTGAGCAGATGCTGTCTTGAGTTCTGAACTTTCACACTTTCTGACAGGAAATTCCCGCTGGAGGGGCATTCTAGTTTACGACTTGTAAATGGGGAATTCCCACTTCCCGGTACACTCATGCTGGCAAAAATGCTGCAAGATGGTTACTTTACACAGCAAATTTCAACGTCTTCTGACTACTTTTGAACCCTGTGCACCTCCACCAAGTGGTTGGCCATCGTTTCTTGGGTAAAATAATCAGTGTGCATTGTGGGAGATGTAGTTTCTGGCCAGTGCCGGCTTTAAAGCAGCTTATTTTAAGACATTAATACATCTTTGAAGCTATATAAAATACAGTGGAGGACCACATTTTGCCAGTGGGCCTTGAGTTTTACACATGCTTTAGATGTGTTTTATATTTACCTCTTCTGGTCTGTAGGATTAAAAGAAACCATAAGAATTGTTTTGTTGCTGTGAGGTTTTAAGCGACATTTATTTATTTATTTATTTATTTATGTTTTAATGAAGCGTTTCTCTACAGTGATGCAGCGTTTGCACTAAGATGAACTGTAATAACTGATGAGTTATCGCGCTGATTGCAACAAAACGATTAGGATCTAGGTTTCTGGAGCCGCAGTCGGCCGTTAAACCTTCATAACGGCTTGGTTGTTCCCTTTTCTCTCCTGATGAGTGGAGCTGCCGTTCGGCTCCTGTAGCGCCGCTCCCTGCAGGTTTCGCAGCTCTGGCTGTTTGCCCGAGCTTSTGCTTTAGTGAAAACTTTTATTATAGCGGCTCAGAGACGCACAGGATCCCTCCTCCCTCTCCCACGTTCTGCTCAGGGCTCAGAGCTTGAAGTGGGAGCTAATGATGCTCTGAAGTAGGTTAGCAGCCCGCAGTGGAGCAGGAGAACACATTCAGCTGAAATGAAAATGGTGAACAGCTCAATCAGTGGCTGAGCTGCACTCTTCACTCTGTAATTAGACGCACCGATGTTATCGACCGAGAAGCATTGATTATGAGAGAAAAGACTGATGGTTTTTATTAAAGGGAGGAGAAAAAGGTTTTTCTGTGTCAGTCTGACCGCAGGATGAACGTGTCGCAGCGCCGAAGCTCAACGGAGAAACGTAACAAAGGGAGGAAGCTCCTTGTTTATTTTTCTCTGTTTACTCAAACAAMAATGTCAGACTCTCGGCATGTTCAGAGGAATGTTTGAGTCATGAAAAGAGAGAACGTTCCTCCTGCAGGTCAGGCTGCCAGCAACACTCCATAAAAAAGTCATTCAGTGAGTCACTTAAAGCTGCGGGTCRTTCTGGACACTTCAGTTTCAGGTAAATCAGAAAAATCAGATGCAGGTTTCAGAACACTACAGGATGGCAGCAGTTTCTGTATGAATGAATTAACTGGAGTATTTCTACACTGAGTGTTTGTTGTGATTCAGTTCAGCTGCAGCTGAGATCTTTTTATCTAAATAGGAAATTTAAAAAAGGACATTTTGCTGCAGGGAAACAGACTCTTTGTAGAGATGATAACAGAGAAATTGTGCAAATTGTGATTAAGCACTAATCTGGTTCTGATTCTCTTTTTCTCTGATTGGAAATTTGAAAATCCAAGATGGCAGCCTTTTTTAAGATGAGCTTTTTTCTACAACAGCTAAACAAACAGTTGGGTTCACTAAACACAGCTCTTAGCTCAGCTGATGCTAAACCGCTAAACGAAGAAAMAACTAACAGAAGCTAATGCTAACCTACAGACTCAAACCTGTTAGATTTTTATTGGTTTAATATGAAGGTGAGTAGGATCATATTTGACATATCAGCCAATTCAAACCAGGATTATAGCTCTGTCTAATTTGTGATACTTCCAGTTTAACCCTTTCAGAATAAAAGCATTTCTAGATCAAGCTTGTGTTTTTATAAATACTGTTTGAAGTTAGTCAGACAACAAATTACAAACATGTTCTCTACCATTTTTTTGTACATATTCAATGTTTGTATTTGTTATTTAAATGTCGTTAAATGTTATTTTATTTCTTTTTGACACCCTTAGTTTGAAGTTTAGCTGCCAAAGATGCTGCATGCTTCACACAGACAAAAATGGAAGTACTTGTGAATATTTTAGTGAACTTAAAATAAGCAGAACCGAATTCAGCAGAAGCTAATCATAAATCGTAAAAAAAGCTAATCCACTAAAGAGAGGCTATTTTGAGAGGCTATTTTGCTATCAGTGGATTAGCGGATCTTTGCCCACCACTGCCACACAGTAATCATATAAAATAATTACAAAAAATGCTCCTAATTTATGTGAAACAATAAATACAAAGGTTCAAGAAACAAACTGAATTCTGGAAAACTAAATAAATATATTTTATCTATAACTCATTTTTGTATGAATAATGTACAGAATATAATGACTTTAATAAGTGTAATCCTCTGATCTTTGCAGAAAACAAACTTTTATTAGTTTATCACTGGTTTCCAAGCCGTAAGCATTGTTTGTTTTTTTCATTTGTGGATTTTTTTCGATTCAGCAATCAACCGAAAGCTGTTTAATTTAATTTATCACAGCAGCAACTATTTCAACACAATGGGCCTCATGCAAGAAGTTGGGAGCGGTGCGCGACTGCTCTTCTTCTGGATAAATGAAACTATGTAACACAATTGTTTACACTTAAATTACAAATACTGTATTTGACCAAAGGAAACCTGGAGCAGGACTAGAGAGAGATGAATATGTTTTAGATTTTTATTTCTGTGACTGTAACGACCCACAGGAGACACTACATTAACAACACACTTCATCCCTCTGCTTTAGCAGCTCCTTTAWTTCCACAGCTGACGCTGCTAAAAATGACAGATTTTCTTTTCTGGATCTCTGAGAGAAGGACATCAATCTCTGAACTCGTAAAGTTCTTTTTTACTTTGCGATGTCATTTATGAATGGACATTTCCTGGTATGTGGGGCAGGAAGTGTAGCCTTAAATGGTGTTTTTGGGGTGGTAGATTATGCTAATCTCCTCTCCTTGTGCACGAGCACCTGATACACATTCATCAGTTTACGCTGCTCATTTACACACTTTTCCTGAAGATAAAAGAGTTTGTTGTTCGTACGAACCCTTCGTAYGATCAAAAGTAAGAGAAATTTAAGATAAGAATACGAAAATGTTCTTGCATGAGGCCCAATGACTCTCAAACACCAACCAGCTCAGAGCCGTGCTTTGGAAAAATCTTGTGCAGAACTTTTTTGTTTCAGAAAAGTCTCTGCAACTCGCATAGCGATAAGGATCAGGTGGGAAACTTCTCACAGTGGGTCAAACCTTCTGGTTCAACATGTCTTGATTGAAACAACTGTGTGCTGGACCTGACAGCTTAGACTCCTACCAAGCAGGAGGCAGAAAAAATGCACCAGGAAGAGCAATGTTTTCTCTCCAACGATGAAACAAATCACCATCTGTGTCTGTAGTCAACGCTGAACGAGAAACACTGGAGCAACTAAGACACAAGAAAATGAGAGAAAGTTTAAAGATGTGAAATTGGACCTACAGAGAGAAAAATGCCAACAAATTAAAGCTTTGGAAAAATCTTAACAGGAGCTCAAAAACACAAAGAAAGACGATGAAAAGCAGAAAACTGATTTGGACGGTTCTAAAAAACGTTTTGAAGAGAATACGAAGCTCAACAACAAGACAGAACAGTCAAATAAAAATCCACACAGCAAAAGATGTTGAACGAGGAAAGGAAAAAGTTAAATGAATTAAAGAAACTTTGCAGAAAGAACGAATGAACGTATCAAAGACACAAAGACACCCTCCTTAAAAAGGAGGTTAAAAAGTTGGAAAAAGGGCAGATGGATTTGGCAAAAGAAAGGAAAAAGATGGAATAAAGGAGGTTTAAAATGGATCAAAAACAAAATTAATTGACGGAGGAAAAACGACTCCTGCACAAAATGTTTGAAAACATCATGACAGGAGTTTGGATTTGGCAAAAGATTGGGAAGACTTTGAACTTGATCAGAAAACACTGGTTGTGGAGAAATTCAAAATGGGACAGAAGAAGTTAAAAGTGGTACGAGTCAAGAACGACTTGAAGAATAATCACATCCAGCAGGATCTAAAGATGTCAGAGGGAGAAATACAATATTTAAAAGTGTGGCAGATTAACATAGAGCAGGAGGAAACTAAAGTGACTCAGCCACAACAAGACATCAATGAAAAACTGCAGACGCTGGAAGAATCATCTGTCCTGTTAAAAAGGGAAAATCTCAATTTCATGAAGTGTCAAAGGAACAAGGACGTGGAGAAAAATATTCTGATTCAGCCACAAAAGGACCTTGACAAAAACTGCAAATAGTGAAAAAAATTAATGAACTTTATTCATTTCTTTAAAAAATAACAAAATAAATTTATATACAATAAAAATACAAATCACAAATAACAGGCGGCAGAAAGAAGAAAAAATCTTATAGTATCTGTGCCTTTTTCCTTCCAAAATTAGTATTTTTTTAAAAATAAGAATCTACAAACAATAAAAACCAAACAAAAATGACCTCAAATTCTTGTCGAACAACAATTTGTATGAATACACATTATATTGTTTCGTATTTCTTTAACAAAGTGACTTTTATCATTCTCTTAAACATAAACATTGAGTTGGCATTTTCACGTCACTCTCTAGATTGTTCCACAGTCTTAATCCTTGTATGGTAGTACAACCGCTCCCTCAAACTACGGTAGTTCGAAATCCTGGTTTCACAAACATCTCTACCCCCTTCAGATCATAACAACTTTCTCTCTTAACAAAATTTAATTGGTTGTTTAAAGGTAATATACATTTGTGAGCCTTATACATAACCTGTAAAATATTATAATCAACCAACTCAATCATTTCAACTGATAAAATAATGTATTTGATGGGCGACTGTAGTGTTTTCTTGTAATAATTCTTACAGCTCTTTTCTGTAAAACAAAAATAGGGTTTATAATTGTTTTACATGCTTYCCCCCAGACCAATACAATAAATAAGTGTGGAACAATTATTGCATTATACGACATATACAAAGCTCTATCATTGAATAACWCGTACTTTGTACAGTACTTCAATAGATTTAGCAATTTTCTATCAATTTGCAACGTAATCTAGAAAAAGAAAAACTAAATTGCATCATGTGTCAAAAGAAGATTGAGAAAACTAAAGTTACACTTTAAATCCATGTTTCTTCTGTGTGTCTGTATTTCAACACATTCTCTTGTACAAATTTCAAAATAACAACTCTTTACAAAGTTAATAAATACATTACCAGAGTGTCTCTTTTGAATCACTTTGGTGGTCCCAAGCCCGGATAAAGGAGGAGGGTAAATGTGGGACATAACATAAAGCAACTGGAAGCATTCGGAGAACGCACACCTACAAGACCTTAGGGTCACCCCCACAGGTGATCCAGATCTTCACCCATCATGAATCAGTTCTTTGTTATAATCTCTACATTTCCCCATAATTTCACAAAAATCCATTCATAAAGTTCTGAGTGTGTGCACAGACAAACCACAACCAGGACTGTCATGATAACAAATTCTGCTGGATGATGAATTGTCTCAGAAATTATTGCGATAAACAATAATATCGTTGGAGACCATTTTAAACTAATATAATTATTACAAAGCTTGGCAGGCATTGTAATAGGGAACATTTGTGTGACCCTGAAGAAACAGTTAAAAGGGATCTTCTTGTTGCAAAAGTTAACCTCCATGTTGATGGTGGCTCTGAATGTTCCAGTTCTGTTGGCATCTTCAGGAAAGTTTCATCTTTTAAGAGGCATTGAGTTACCGGAATGTGTTCCGGCTGATCAAACAGAAAGATAAAGTAGATAAAAAATAAAATAAAATYGATGTACAGTATATGTGAAATGAAAGCTAATTTTCTGGTCTGAGTTTTGGGGTCTTGTTAAATATATAAATCCTGTGGTGAGGCTTCCAACACGTAACCTGGGTCAGTGTCTGAGGATCCCCGGGGTCTGGTCTGTGGCGCTCCACTGCCGAGACACGAACTGGAAGTAAAACACTGCAGTGTTTGTCAASAAAACTGCAACCGCTCCGCAGGAATAAAATCACTTTGTGAAGCTGCTTTCTACCCTCTGACACAAACTAAATTTATTTTTTCCCTCCAACAACTTCTGCCCCGGGAGGAAAACACTGCAGCAAAGAAGACATTGATCCGTACAAATCTTACACCGTTTGTCGCTAAAAATAGAAATCTCGTGGTGTTGGAGGGGATGGGGCAGAGATAGATGTGAAGAGGAAACAGCAGGAGTTCCTCCTTGTGTCCCAGAGCTGTCCAGGCTCCATGATGGACAAAAACAAGAGGTTTAGGTCCGATGTGAGACAGGGCAGCTCTGCAGCTGACGGTTTAAAACAAGTATTAAAGATAAAATATCAGGAAGTGAGTTTTGACTCAGAGATTAGAACTGGTTTAAAAATAAAGAACACAAAGCTAAACAAAAATAAATTCATTCACTTTAACCACGATTTGAACAGGTTTGTAGTTTTTCAGGGGAAAGAAACATAATAGTCTGTTAGGACAAAAGCTTTTACCTTCTCCCTGTACTCGGGTTGTTCTGGGGCRTAAAGGTGAGCGCTGATGCCTTTGGCTCGCTGATGTTTTTCCATTTTCTTTCTCGCCGTGTCCCAGATGCCACGAGGACACCACTCACATCTGCCAAAACAAAACCCTGATGACAAAAGACAGGCACTTCTCACAAGGGACGAGCTGTCTTTTTCTTTTTGTTCCTTCTGAATGTACCGGCAGAAACCATCACAGTGCAGAGTAGGCTTTTTATGTGACATTTAAAATTTAACAATGTGGCACCCAGAAGAAAGTGTTGGGATTTAGAAGTCTGTAGTTGTGAATAAGAAAGCACAGAACCTACATTATGGATCAAAAATGACTAAATTAAGTTCCTAAACATCAACAAAAACTAAATACAGAATTTACAGAGAAGGAAGTGCTGCTTAGAAACACAGTGAAACTGTTGGTGAACTCAGGAGAGCGGTGTGATTCTAATGACAAAGCTAAAAACTGCACAGGTTCACTAAGTAAAAATCACGTGGGATGAAACTTCTCTGAAAGTTGTGTGTTTTGAGGTGTTTAAATGACAAGTTTTCTCTTAAATGGGCTCTGCTTTGCTCTGTCAGGGGTCTGCAACCTTTACAATCAAAAGAGCCATTTCTGCTACTGATGCAGTAAAAAAATGTGTCCAGAGCTGCAAAATAAGCTCCAACTGTGATTATCAACTGGTGGTCTGTGGGCTTTTTTCAAGGCCTTTTCGGGAACCTTTAAGGCCAGTGGAGGTGACATTATAAAACTAAAAAATGTATTGTGAATTTTATTATTATTTTTACCCGTCAGGACAATTAAAAAGACTATATTTATGTAAACAAGAAAAAATACTTTATATAGTTTATACCTAATTTCATAATGTGGCCCCAGAGCCGCAGGTTGCATACCCCTGCTCTAAGTAGCCGTTAGCATGACTGAGTCATTAGCTTGACAAGTTCCTGAATAGCTGTTAGCTTGATAATGAGTCTATGTGGCCGTTAGCTTGAATCAGAGTGGTTGTTACCTTGATTCTGAGTAATCATTAGCTTGACTTTGAGTGGCTAACTAGCTGTTAGCTTGACTCTTAGTGGCTGAGTGGTTGTTAGCTTGATTCTGAGTGCCTGAATGACTCTTAATTTGACTACAAGTGGCTGAATAGTTGGTATCCGAAAATGAGAATTTCTCCCAGATTCTTAAACTAACATCACTCAGGCTGCAGTCTACAGCAGGTAAGATACCACCTGGTCATAATTACTCCATATAACCCCATATAAAACAAAATATTACCTGAAAGCTAAAATGGCCAACTTAATATTAGTTTATTGCCAATTATCTCTAGATATTGGATGACGTCTGCATTAAATCAATCAAATTGTTTTTAGAGTTTAAACTTTTACATTTAGGTAGATTTTATATAAAAAAATTAAAGCCCAAGTGCTAATTGCTGATCACCTTTTTGTTAGATGTCACAGTTTGTTTTTTTAGTGTTAAATTCACAGGTTAGTATCTGAGACGCTCCTAACTCCTTTTTCTTTTTGGTATTTTATTTATTTACCTGCRTGTTTCCTGCTTCCCTCACCGCCCCAGTCTCTCTCACCACTCTTCACCATGGCTGCATACTGATTTCCCCCGCAAGTGTATTTAAATAAAAGCTTCTGTACGTATAACTGTGCCTGTACGAGCAGAGTGGAGGCAGCTGGGAGGCTGTGATTTGCTGCTGATGACTGAAGCGGGGAGGGAGGTGTGCATTGATGAAGCCAGAGAGAGGGAGGCAGCGAGGAGAGCTTCTTTTCTCTCTGCGACTCAGGCAACCAGCTCTCCTTACCTCTCCTCCTCCTCCTCCTCCTCCTCCTCATTCTCCTCCTCATTCTCCTCCTCAGCAGCGACTGCAGACAGAAGAGAGGAATTGGATTAAAATAAAAATCACAATAAAAGAAGGATTCAACAAACAAAGACGAGGCAGGGATGGGAGACATCGGAGCGTTTTTTTTCCCCCCAAACACCCACACCCCCGTCGACTGTGAGATGAGATAAAACCAGAGCGGAGAGAGAGAGGGGGGTGGGGGGAAAGAAAGACGAAGGGGATAAAAAGATGTCAGCGGAGCTCTACTCGTGGACGGAGAGACGGAGGAAGAAGTGAAGCAGATAATCGGACAGTCAACTCTGTCAAACTGCAGGGATCCATTTTCATTTGGAGCAACAGGATTGCTGTCTTCTCTGCTTTTTTTTTCTTCAGTTTTCTTRTTTATATTTGTGGGATTGTGACGAAACCACGGCCACTCTTTGGAACCCCAGCTCTGAAGTCCATCCATCCATCCCTCCCGCCCCATTTCTCCCWCCTTCCTTACAGTTTTTACATTTATATAAGCGTCAAAAAGCTTTGTTGCACAACCCTGCGTGTCCTTTCTCTCTCCATTTCCACATTTCACACCCATCTGTTTCATGCTGGCTGTCCGTTCACACCTCTGCCATCTGCGAGAGTGTTCTTCAGAAGTGGATTCGGCGTGTCGCTTCCTGTCGAGACCACGTAAAGAGGCGGATTCATCCAACAGCCTCGTTTTTCCTCAGCGGCGAACGGAGAAGAAAGAAAAAAGTTGTGAGTGATCCTGAGCTGCAGGGGGAGGGTCTCGCCCACCTGGAGGATGTATAAAACATGTCTGTGTGATCAATAATTCAGCATCAGGTGTGTTTCCTGCTGGCACTCTTGTGGTTTCGTCCCTGCTGATTGCTCCGACAGCAGCTTGATAATGCGTCTCAGCCTTGCCTGATCACCATCTGCTCCCTGCACACCGACCACCCCATCCAGAACCTTTTTTTTTTTCTCTACATTTTAAACTCACAAAGACTCAATCATCGGTGATATTTGGGCTCAGCTGTGTAGTCACTGCTCTCCGAACATGATCGGCGTCAACAGCCTGCACTCGGCAGGGCGCCTCCGCTCACGCTCGCTCTGCACTGTACGCTACGGGCGGGACTTCCGGATGATGGACCCGTTCCGCTATCCCAGAACCCCACGCTCGCGTTCGCTCAAACCACTCGTGTTTCCGGACCTGCTGGGCAAAGCTCAGGACGGGCAGAACCACCCGCAGGCCAGAAAGAGGAGGAAGGTACGGAAAAGTGTCCCAGTTTTAAAATCCCCAACAAATATTATTTATTTGGGAAAAATGGAGGCTGATTTTCTTTTTCAGTACCAAGCCACATTTCATGCCAGAGCTTTACAATTGTACCATCTTATGTAACAAACTGACAAGAGTTACAAACATTTAGGTTAAACCCTAAAAATAAAATGAGCCATTGCTGTCTTCTCTCTGAGCCCGCAGACTGATGGAGTCTTATCGATTTATACTGATTCTCTCTTTGAGCTCCCTCAGGACACACAGCCACATGTGTTCATGTGATCCAGACTTAAAGTTAATTCTTAGGGAATAATTCAACAAACTCAGCTGTGACACAGATTCTGTTTTTGTATCGGCCCAAATTAGAGGTGTGCTGGTTTGGGTAGGGTTACAGAAACTGTGATGTGTTAAAGGGGTAGTAAAGTAGGGTTCTGTTAAATGATTACAGACAGTTAAAGATACTTGTTACAAAGTATGAACTCAAACTTCTGCATATTTTACTCAAAAGATCAAAGTGTAAATATCTGGTTTTCCCAAAACTCCAGACTGGAAATTATTTTAAATGTCTAAAAATCCTTACTGGCATCCAAAGGTGGATATATTTTTCTATAATTGGCATGAAATAAATATTCAGTTGAATTAAAAATTTGATACAGAATCCTGCACTCTGATTTGTTGTCTTATCTTTGGGCTCACAGCAGCTGTCATTTTGTATTTTTGGAACCAGAGTCTGCTCACTACAGATATAGGTCTTTAACCTCATATTTTTAAATCAGGTTTTTCAGTTTTCTCTACTTATTTTTGCAATCTAACCACAAACAGATGCTAAAATGTTAAAATGTTCAGCTCATTTAGGAAAAGTTAAACTTTTGATTTTTGTCACTATTTTCCACATTAAAATCTTCAAATTATTTAAAAACATTCTGTTTGAAATCGGCTTTAACTCGGTTTTTTGTCTTTTCGTTTTATCCTAACTTTAGCCTTTAGCTAGTCCCTTTAATTACTTTTAGCTTCTACCTATCATGGTGCTATTTTTAGCTTTTAGCTAGTCCTTTTAATTATTTCACTTCAGTTTATTTACATAGCGTTGAATCACATCATATGTTGTCTCAGGACACTGTACACACAGTGTTGACATACTCTAGCTTCTAGCTACTATAATGTTACTTTTAGATTTTAGCTAGTCCTTTGCAACTTTTAACCTCTAGGTACAAATTTAAATACGTACATCTTGCTGTTTTCTGCTTGTAGCTTCTAGCCACCGTTCAGCTAGTTTTAGCAACTCTGTTGTTACTTTTACATTTCAGCTAGCTTGTTGCTAATTACAGCTTCTAGCTCACGTTTGAGTACTTTCAACATTTTTCTAACCTTTTAGCTTCTACCATTGTGATACTTTTAGGTTYTACTTATTTTTTGTTACTTTTAGCTGTTGTTTTGCTTCTAGCAAGCACTTTGCTTCTCAGCTATAAACTACTTTGTGTTGTGCTGTACTGTACAAACATGCTTTATAATTAAACTTTGACTGATTTTAGCTTATAGCTCATGTTCTGCTTCATATAGCTTTAACAACTCAGTTTTAGCTCATTTTAGTTACGGTGCTCAGAACTCACCGCAGGTTTGCAGAAATGCTTTTCTAGGTTATTTGTTTATTTTKGGGGGCTTTTTTAAATCTAAGTCGAACCTGTTTGGTTTAGTTTTAGTTTTTTTTATATCATTAATTAAGAGCAGCAGAAAAACAGCTGAGAGGAAGCAAGATGTTTTAATGAGGGGAGTTAGTTTTTAGCCTCCTCTGGATCTGTAGTGACAGTCAGGACTGTCAGTAAAATATCAAGTAGGAAATCAGTTTGACAGCAGAGGAGTGATAGAGGGCAGCAGGAAGCCATCAGGGTGTAGCGATAAAGATGGAGGCAGCTGATGGACGAATGTGACAGCTGAAGGGATGAAGAGGACCCTTACRGGCATTTCATCACCGCCCCATTCACCTTTAAATCCCCCGAAGGCCGCCCACCCATTCACACTCATTAACAGCTTTAACCATAGAAACTGCTGCTGCTGTTGTGACTTTTAATCAAATAAAACTGGATTCATTCAGGAGTTTGACTCTAATCACCTCCAGCGCTTTTTTTTTCTTTGAAACTCGGTATAATCAGAAACTCGTCCAGAGCATCATGAATATTAATGTTCATCCAGCCGACATCATTAACAACTTAGTTCTGTTTCATCCTTTTTACTGTAAGATTTCAGCTCTTTAGTTTTAACTCATAAATTTTAAAATCYAAACGAGACTAAAATACAGATGAGCTCAGTTTCAAACAGAACAAGTTGCTTCTGCAGCCTGAATGTTGTTGACATCAAAAATTGATGGTAAATTTGTTCCTGTAAATTTCTTAAGCAGAGATCCACCTTCAAAAGGACCAAAGAAAGTTCATCCAGTTTGATGAACTTTAATCCATATTTTTGTAAATTTTCTATCTATTATGAGGCACCAAGTGTAAAATAAAATGCTAAAACTTGTCACTAAGACATTTATATGGGATAAAGCTTGTGCCAGCAGGAATTGAATTTGAATTGCTCAGGTTGAATCTGAATGTGCACAATTTAAAATTGATTGTATTGGTTTGAAAATGAACATTACTAAATCGAAACTGAATTTAAAGGTTTGTATCTGAATTATTTTTCTTTGAAACTGTATTTTGGTTTATTAAAAATTCAGTTTGGCTACTTTCACTTTCAGTTCCATAATTCAGATTTTTGTGTCACACATCCACAGATTTATGTTTCACTTTGAAGTTTCCCTTCTGTRTGTAACAGAGTTGATGCAATCCACTGTAAAAGTGACAAAAAGTTTTTTCTATTGCAGTGATTAATTTTACCTATATGTAGAAAATGTTACATTTACATCACATCATGGATCACATATCGATCAGATGCTGCTAATGACTGATCCATGATGTGATGTAAATGTAACATTTTCTACATATAGGTAAAATTAATCACTGCAGTAAAATAACTGTTTTTGTCACTTTTACAGTGGATTGCATCAACTCTGTTACATACAGAAGGGAAACTTCACCAAAGTGAAACATAAATCTGTTTATCTGTGTTTGATTACTCTGCCTGGCTTTCTCAAGGACCAGGATGTGACACAAAAATCTGAATTATGGAACTGAAATTTAAAAAATGAAAGTAGTCAAACTGAATTTTAATAAACTAAAATACAGTTTCAAAGTAAATTAATTAAAATTCAAACCATTAAATTCAGTTTCAATTAGTAAAATTCATTTTCAAATCAATGCATTCAGTTTCAAATTATGCACATTCAGATTCAATCTGAGCAATTCTAATTCARTTCCTGCTGGCACAAGATTTATCCCATACATTTAGCTCACTTTGAGTGTAAAATCCTACTTAAACATTTTCCACTAATATTTTAATGTTATGTAGCTCACTATTCTTACAATTTGCTTAATTTTACTAAATGTTAAGTTAAAATGTTAAATATTAAATATTTGGAATTAACTGACTAGACCACTTGTTTCAGCCACGATCATCTTCATTCTAGGCTCCATCTGCTACAGATACTATTCTTTTTTTGTAAGAGAACCTTGTCAGTCTGAGATAAAAATATCTAATGTGTGGTCAATGGGAAAGACCAGCAGTCAAATCACAGACCTTCTAATTTAGGAAGAGCTCAATTTAAAACGCAGTTTTTTACCTTTCAGTCACCCAGAATTAAAGAACATTGTTGTCTCTGGACAGCAGTGACTCTGGGGATGAATCTGTCTTCCTGCAGGTCCATAATGTGATTTTAGTTCTGAAACTAGATTCAGGTCTGTGGTGATTGGTGCTAATGTAAATAATGAATAGCTTGATAGATTGTCTGGGCTCGGTGCGGAATGGCTTGGTTTCTGTTGTGTTGACAGCACGGGGCTGATCAGATGATTGATGGTTCAGCCGAGGGCCGTTTGAGTCTCYAGAAAACAAGATGATATTTTTCTGACAGCAGAAAGAAACCAGCTTGTTTGGCTCTCAAACCAAAATAAATCTGTTGATACCATCGTCTTGTTTTTKCTCTGCAGGCTCTCTACAACTCAATCAAGAACCAGAAGCTGCAGTGGACTCTGTAAGTAATCTGAAGCATTTTATTCACTTTTTACTGCTTTTTTTTACTGATTTCCTTTAAACAAACACTGAGGAGTGGAGGGTGTTGAACAATGTTCTAACGCTGATAATGACGTGCTTGCTGTCTGGCGTTTGAAGGATGCATTATTGTGTCAAGGGTTGCTATTCTGGATCGCAGCTTCAGAGCACCTCGGAGATGCCAATTAAGTCGCTGGCTTTTCCWAGCTTTGTTGCCATGGCGACGGCACCATGGTTACGACTCCGCAGCTACCACATTGCTCTTTCCTCTCCGCGTCGTCTCGGCTGCAAACACGACGGACGAACGGGCTGCGGGCGCACGCGGGGGGGAATGCGTCCGTTTTTGTGAAAACGTTTTTTTCCAGAAACCGCGGGGASTGAGAGCGTCCCCGCTCCGAACAGCTCCTCACCTGCATCCCATGCAAAGGTGCGACCGCAGCCTCCCACCAGCTTTCCAAAAATAGCTTCAGCTTCAGAAGCAGCAGTAGCAGCGTGCGCAGAGCTGCCGAAGAGCAGTGGTCAGAGGAGCAGATAGAGTTCAAACGTCTCCGCCGACATGTAGACGGCTGCTTAAACGCTGGAGCTGGACTTCAGGGAGGGATCGGTTTCACACGGAGACAATCCACAGATGAAGACGCAGCTCACAGCAGCGTGGAGCTGACACTGCCCATGAAACAATCAGCACCTTGTTCAAATCACATTCATTCATATTTTCCACACAGTCACACAGTGGTGGGCACAGTCCTGCTAATCCACTAAATTACTAATAAGAACTAATTTTGTGTAGCGCTTTAGCTTTTGCACCAAGTTTGTAACCATTTATCCCATACAATAGGGCTGGGCGGTATGACCTCAAATTCATATCACGGTATAAATTGAATCTCTTCACGGTAGCGGTATATATAACGGTAGAAAATTATCATAAAAAGCAAAGATAATGAAATTTTTAGAGCATTTATTTAGCAGAAAACTGCAATCATAATCAAAGCCAGCATTTTTGCCTTAGTGCAAATGAACATAACAGAAGTACAAAATAATGTTTTATATATATGTTGCAAAACGGTTTCAACAACAAACAAAAACATTTCTCAAATTTTCAACAAAATAAAGTGGATGTTATAACCAGTACTTCAAGTAAAAATAGTCATTTAGACATAAAACATTCTAAGTTGCCTAAAATGTTATAGTGTAGCTCAAACGTCAAAAACAAGAGGGAAGAGGTGTTATTTAAATCCACCCTTCACTAATAATTATCTATTTTTACTAATCTAATTCTTTATTAATACAACCGTTAACTTTTGCACATACTCCAAACACCGATAGTGTTGTTCCCTTTTTTTGATGTTATTGTCTCTAGTTTGGTCTCTTTTTTTGTTTCAAATGTGTTTTTTTAACCCTTCATCCCATATTATTTTCTTTAGTATCCTTTAAGTGCTTGTTTTCTTTTCATCTGGTTGTCTCTTGGCATTCACTCTGGGCGGCAAAGTAAGAATTTTATTGCTTAGGGAAACATGTTTCATCTGTGTTTATGACAATGAACACTTTGAATCTTGAATCTTTGAATCTAATGGAAAAAATAGAATAGTCACATACTATTTCTTATTACAGGATAATCTTTATAATTCATGAAAATAATTTCTATATGCTTTCTKTTAAGCAATTTTATAAAACTGTATTAATATAATAAAAGTATTTTTGGCTCAGACAAATTGAAATGTGAACTTGTTTTTAAAAACTACAGATGCCACATCTACATTTGGACTGTTTTTAGCAACAACAACAAAAAAAAAACAACCCAACAAACTGATGGTATGGGGGTGCATTAGTGCCTTTGGCATGGGCAGCTTATACATTTAGAAAAGCTTCATCAATGCGTAAAAGTTTCGACAGGTTTTAGAATGTCTGCTCCCATCAAGATGATGTCATTTTCAGGGAAGGCCTTGATTATTTCAGCAAGACGCTCCTTTACAAACGTCATCCCTGCTGCAGTTCAGACCTCTTCTTAATTAATAAAAAAGAAGAGATAGTAACTAAACTCCATCAGCTGATTTCTGTTTGTGATCACAGTTCGGTTCATAAACAGTCTCAGTGTTGAAGACTCGTTCTGAAACAAACGACGAACGCGCTTCTCGTTACAGGTGTGTGTGTTTTCTGCAGATATGGTTTTATTCTGTGCTCCAGCTCTGAACGCCGGTTGTTATTTCACGCCCACACAGAAAAAAAAAAAAGAAAGGCGCGCACAACACGGTCCGCTGTCAGCGGTGCTCCCACATGTTTGTTCGCTCACAGACGTGCGCGGCGAACGYCCGCTTCAGGAGCGAACGCCCGCCTCAGGAGCGGGGGTGGAGGGCAGAGGGAGAGGCAGCGAGCTCTGATAGACTCATCAGGTCCGGCTGCAGAGAGAGGCTGAGTCCTGAACCAGGAGGAAAATGGAGGGGAAGTTTATTTACTGTTGGAAAGGAAAGTCTGTGATGAAATGTGTGTTACCCACCACCTTTCATTCATTTCCACCTTCCAAACAAACCATCAGTAAAACAAACTCATTTCTGAGTTAAAGAGAATAAAATGATCGTCTCCTCACTTCACTGTCCTGAGAGCTCTGTCCGTTTGCTCCCCTGACTCAGCGTCGCAGGTGAAACCAAGCCAATCTGTTTACAGTGACAACCCGTGCAGACATTACCCAGCATGCACCTCTTTGTGTTTGTGTCCATTCATCATCTACGGGCTGAATGCTCTATTTTTGTTGTTGTTGTTGTTTTATTCTGTTTTTTATTTACTTTCTTTTTAATTCTTTTTCCTTTTTAATTCAGTTACATTTATTTCACCCTTTCCTTTCCTCGCCTTCTCTTTTCTTTCCTCTCCTTTCCTCTCCTCTCCTTACCTTTCCTCTCCTTTCCTTTCCTTTCCTTTCCTTTCCTTTCATTTCATTTCCTCTCATTTCCTTTCCTTTCCTCTCCTTTCCTTTCCTTTTCTTTCCTCTCATTTGCTTTCATTTCCTCTACTCTCCTTTCCTCTACTCTCCTTTCCTTTCCTCTCATTTCCTTTCCTCTCCTCTCATTTCCTTTCCTCTCCTTTCCTTTCCTTTCCTTGGTATGCTTGTTTGTCTTTGTGTCTATGGTGTAATAATAATGATGTGATTGTGATGCTGTAATTCTGAGTGTTTTATGTGCTGCAGAACAGGAACCTGCTGTAAAACAGCAATTATGCTGAGTCAGGCTTGATTTTTAGTAATCTTTTCCTGTTGAATCAATAAATCAAATCAAAACAAATCAAATCAAATCAAATCAAGTCAAATCAAGCAAGCAGAACTTCCAGGAAATCTTCAAAACCTGTTTTGTGTTAGACTGAGTAACTATAAGCTAAGACGAGAATGATTGTGTGTTTATCTGCGTTGGGGGGTAGATTTATGGGTTAAATGTTGAACTGAAGCAATGGAAAATTATTTGACTCATCACATCAAAACAAGGATTAAGTCCAAAAGTTGTATGTGAAGAAATAGGCAAATATAGTGTTTTTGACTAAAATGTTAACAAAAAATGCATTTTGTCAAAATAAAATGAATGAATATCAATGTATCATTTGAACAAACTGTCTGAAAT